CACGAGTGCTCGTAAAGCTGTGCCACGGGTCCCGCAATGACCTCAGCTAATTCCCTCAGCACTCTGGGGTGGAGATCATCTGGACCAGCTGATTTAAATACATCCAGTCCCTCCAGAAGTTCCCTTACTAGATCCTCATTGACCCTTGGCCTGGGTGCGCCTCCCCTGGGGCCTGAGGGGGGCTCAGTGGGGGGGATGATCCGGTCCCTGCTCAGGAAAATGGAGGCAAAGAAATTGTTAAATAGGTTAGCTATGTCGTCTGGTGTGATGACCAGATTTCCTAGCACGTCTTGCAGGGGCCCCACGTTACCCGGTACCTTCTTTTTGCCCCCTATGTATTTAAAAAAGGACTTCTTGTTGTCCTTGATCCGGGAAGCTAGTCCCAGTTCCATCTCCGCCTTGGCCTTCCTGACTGCTCCCCTGCAGTCCTGAGCAACCAAGGTATAGTCTCCCTGGTGATGGCCCCTCCCTTCTATTGGGTGTATGCCTCCCTTTTAGCAAGGAGACCTTCCCGGATGCTTTTGGTGAGCCATGGAGGTTTGGAGGTTTTGTCGTGAATCTGAACAAAAAATTTGGAGGTTTTGTTGTAAATCTGAACAAAAAATAAAAATCCTTCATGAAATGGAATCTCTTTCTCCACCCAGTTCTATCGCCAGAAGCCATCTTTTCACTTGGGAGGGCATAACTTTGAAGCTTTAAGGATGTTGTTTTCATTTTTTGGTAAATTTCTACGACCCCCTGTACATTTTACAGGTATTGCACAATTAGCTGGTTAATTGTGGACTTAACTGAGACCACCTACATGTGTAAAGTACCTATTATGCCATTAAAAGGCCCAACCAGCTATAAAGTTAAACCTCAAAAGTGTGTATTAACTTTAAAGCTGGTTGCTATCCAGGTTTAATTTGCATGTGTAGCAGGGTCTGCAGGCTCCCAGCACAGCCAGGGCTGGGAATCCTGCAGCTCCATCATAGCAGTAACCCCATTTGGGGTGCCACCACCACTGAGACAGAGTCTCACATCTGAGGGATTCTTGGTCCTGGCACCATGGGGTGCTGCAATAATTACAAGTCCAGTCAGTTAAAGGACTTTTGGCTGCAGGAGCTTTTTAGTTGCTGGTACACGGGGAGCCCAGGATAGCAATGGTATGATAGAAGGCGTGATTGTGTTGATCATGCTTCAGATCCTATCACACCTTTACCTGAACATCTAGAGGGACCCTAAGTAATAGAAAACCAACCAAACAACAACAAGCTTTCATTGAGCTTTGTCCACATGTTGACCTCCACACAGAGTTAGCTGCCAGTTAAAATTAAATTTGTTATCTTGGGGTCCATTTCAAGCTCTAGGCATGAATGTGTTCTTATGGTCACAGACTCTTCTAGCCAGTTTCCCCAATTCTATCTCATTGTGGTCCATCTACTTCCTGAACCATCCGTCCTGATAAGGCTGAATAAGGGGATGAATTACTTAGTTCAGTCCAGGTGGTCTCTGGATCAAATCTTTCATAACCACTCTGAACTCCTTCAAGCTGATCTCTATTTTTGCATACTAAACACACTTCTCAGCTGCATCTACATGAAACACTAACTGCACACTAGCCCAATATTACTGCACAGTAGCGCCATGTGGCAACAACTGTGACGTGATGCTACTATGCAGTATTAGCCTACTGAGTATTAGGCTACTGAGCAGCAGCATCACAAACAAGATATTTGTCTGTGCAGTAAGTCAAGTTACTGTGCAGTCAGAGCTTCATGTAGATTGGCCCACATATTGCAAAAAATGTCTTGTCTGGTCCCTTCCCCACTGACCATCCCCCAGTCACCAACATGTTCTCAATAAAATTCCCTCTCAGTTTTAGAGAGAGAACCACTTCCTCCAATAAAACTCAATTCTCTGTCAACCGGCCCCCTTTTAATATTAGGGAGTGGTATTCCTTCTTCCCAATGAAAACATCTTACTCCATTAGCTGATCTCCTGTGATGGTGGGTTCCACAGCTGGAACTTGAAAAGGCATTGTTCTTCCCTGCCTCTAGCCCATTTTAACATCTGAGAGCAGCCTGGATCATCTCAGATTAAGAAGCGTATACTGAGCATGTACAAACTACATTTTTTCAAAAGTTTATTATTTGACCAAGGTCAATTTTTATAGAGGCAGCAAAAGAATGTGTATCCCTAAAACAAATACCACCTTGTTCCCAAATTTCAAAATTACAGCTTAAACACACAGGGAACTTTTAAAAGAAAGTGCCACCAATTTTTATTTATATAACATGAACAAAAAATTTTCAAAAATGACTGAACTACTTTAGTCCTGGGGCACCTGATGTCAGATTCTACTCTACCTATTAGGTGCATAAGTGGACTTACATGCCTAAGTGTGATTCTCTTCCAGACTGTTCAAGTCCACAAAAATCCATTAATACATCTACTTTTGTAACACACTGCCATTTTACCCCTAATACTGAGTCAGGAAAAATAACACAGCAATAAATGGCATGGGGATGTGTTGGTAATGTAGTCATTTACCTGAAATATTTGTTTCAAAGAGAAAAGTGCACGTCTCAGCTCCCGTCCATTGGAGTTATAGAGTTTTTCTGAAATAAAGAACAGCAAACAAATAATATTAATGGAACTGCCAGCATGACTAATGAGTGATAAATTTAAGAGGAAGGGTAGCAATGTCCATTTTCTAAAGAAAACTTTCAAAAGATTTCATTCAACCTGAGATTTCAGTCAACCTGATCTTTCCTTCCTTCATACAGCACTTGCCCATCAACCACATAAACAAGACAGATAGTTGTCCATGACCTGAGTGAAATTTCCAATGATGAGTTACTCTAACTTCAGGAAAGGTTGGAAGAAAAGTAAGATTATGAGTACCTTTCAGGTACAGCTGAGGAATCTCTAACTTCCTTTCCTATTTCAAAAAAAAGTATAGTTTTCTTGGACAGTATTGCATTAACAAGAATGTAGGCTCAAGTCCTCTGTGTGTGCATCTATAGGTGTGCTTTAATGTGCAGTAGCCTATTTTACTGCGCATTAAAGCATCACATAAAAACCCATGACATTATACTACTGCACAATACAATAGGCTACTGAGCATTACGCACCACTTGAAAACAGTGTGCGTTCATTACTGCATGTTAAGGCAACCTAATGCACATTTGTTTAGTGTCTCACATTGGAGGTACTGAATTTAATGCATATTAGGAAAATCATATTCATTCACATATGGACATGCCCTGTTTGTCCACTCAGGGAAGACTCCACGGTACCTACACTCTTAGTTTCCCTACGCTGCTTCATTAATGATCCTTCATCCTAGTCTGGAAGGATTATTTTTATGAGTTAGAATGGACAATAGTTTTCATACCTATTCACCCTTTTACCACTGTTCCACAATGGGCAATAAGTGTACTGAGGTAGTGCTTACTGTTTACATATATTATATATGAAACCTTCAGTGTGGAGATAATTAAAATACCTCACCTAGATGTCTCATTTCCAAAAATTACTGAAAAAAGTAACAAGTTGAGTTCACTACCAATCCCAGTCTGCAAGTGAAGCAATTAAAAAGAAACAGAAAGAAAAAAAGTGTCCATTATCAGTCCTTGGCCACTCAATCTCCTGCTTGCTATTTTCTTGGCAATTCCTTTCTCTAACTGCAGTGCATGTGATGACTGTCAATGCCAGAAGCAGCCAGACAGTTTGTTCTCAGCATATGTCAAAACAAGGTTTTACTCTCAGGAAAATGTATTTTAGTCTCTTTCTAAGAAATTTAGGAGAAACATTATTTTAACCAACTAGTCTTACTATATATTATGTAGTTTATTCTCCCAATAATGTATAGTTGTAGAAAACAGTTAAAAGGTAGAAAATGTTATAAGGGTTTATGAGTACTGAATGTATTCTGAAGGCAAATGAAGAAAACCAAACAGTGCTCAACGCAGTGGCCCATTGTGATCCCAGAGCCTCACCCACAAGCAGCCCCAAGGGGACCAGCCTGCAAAGGATGGGTGGAGAGGATGCTTGCCAGATGACATGTTTGAGGCTAGAGTGACTGTAGCACGTGGATGTTCCCACATGACAAATCAACATACTATCAGCTGTTGTGATGTGCAGAAATAAACCTTTCCCCCCACTTCCCCTACCTATTTTTGTACTGTAAGTATTGTACAAAAATAAATCCTAATTTTTTTAGTGCTGTCAGAAGGAGAAAGACAATGGGCATTTGAGGATTTACATTTTTAACAGGATTAAGCACTTTTCCCCAATAGTCTCATCCAATCAGAAAGTAAAACTGTAGTAATTTTGCTTCTCTCTAACAGGCTTTGTTTTCAAAGACAGAACATGTAGATCTGGCTTGACTATTACTCTTGGTTCTCATCCTTGTACAGTTTATGAATTCCTGACAGAGCACAGGAGGACAGGGTTTCACTTAAAACCAGACACTGAGATGCACTATTTAATTACTCCACCTTAAAAAAAATGTACTGGCGCGTGCAAGCACATCTCTTGGCTGGATAAAGAGGAGTCTTGTCAGGAAAGCTTAAAGAATAATGAGGCAGGAGGAGTATTAAGACCTGGTTTGTTGACTTCACGTGCTACAGCACGCAACTACTTTTCTGTGAAAGAAATCTCCATCTGGCATTTGTTACAACTAATTTCCCTCCATTCATGTAAGTCACTGGCATCATTTTAAATAGAGCCACTCCAAACAAGGCTGCACAGTATCATTTGAATGAAGAGAGGCACAAAGTTGCACATAAATATCAACATTTTAACAAATGCCATCTGTGGGTCCTTTTCTTACACCAGAGGAATGATCATCCCTGCCTGCAGCAAAGTAATTGTGAAATACTGTTATCCTACTATAACACTAGTTATTTTCATTAGACCATGCAGCTCTTTTGAGAATTCTCTGAAAAGACCCAAGTCAAACATTTTTTCCTTGTGTATTTTTCATACACATGGTGTAACATCACCCCTGCATATGAGCACAGGCAGCTCTCTTATTCGCAACAGGAACAGAAGCCTGTAACTGCAGTTCCAAAAGAAATCACTTAAGTTAAAGATCATCTCTAGCTACCACTATTAGTATTAAGTCTTACAGTCTCAGCATCCAGCTGCCAGAGAGAAGCATAATCACAAACAATTGAGCAGGTCTAGCTTCATCTAGCAGGGGGCAACAAAATACATTAGATGCTAGTTAACACTAACAACATGCAGCAAACTGGAGCAAAAGAGGCTAATTCATGTTCACAGGTCTGTCCGCACATTCAAAGAAGCTGGCAAGCGGAGTCAGAAGTACAGAATTCAGACCATTACAGTTGATTCTAAGTAATCTCTTTACATCTTGGCAATATACCAACAGCCTCTTTTACACCTGGCACTGTTTCTTATAGTGCTAGGAAACATCAGAAACTTTACAAACCATAATCCAGAAGGTAAGTAAAATACTCCTCTCTTAAAAGAGTTATGCTGCATTAGCAAATGCTTTGGCTGAGCTTCTACTTGAAACACGGGCAAAATTCACCCTAAGCAGAGGACCCTGTATAAGGTAAAGTACTCCATAGATCACTTTATGAAGCTTTTATTTTAATTCTGGTTTTTTGTGAGGTTTTTTACTTCTCTTAAATGCTGTCCAAAAAAGTATCTACAAAATAAACAATTAAGGATACAAGAAGTCTTCAGTGGGTAACAGAAATCCCATTAATGTCAGAGGAATGCAAGTTCAACAAGGGTATGTTTCAGTGCTTATTCTAAAAGCCTTGTACCTGGAGTGACACAATACAAAACTAGCCAACAGGATTTTCTACTTCTGCTACTGCCATGACTTTCTGAGAGGTCACAGTGGCTGCTCTAAGGTAAATGATTTACTGTAATATAAACCACTCCCCATAGCAATGGTTCTCAACATTTTTAGACTCCAGGCACTCCTTGGAAAATGCCAGCTCTTAATTTTCTTTTTCTGTTTTTTTCCTACAGAAAAACAACAAAGCATTTCTTCTGTTGAAAAGAACTCAGGAAGACCACAACGGGTCAGAATTTTTAAATCTCTGGGTTTATTTTATCAATCAGGTTTGCACACCTAAAAGTGCTAACACTTTGTGGCATCCAACAACACCCTTGAAAAGACTGCAAGGCACCCTAGGGTGCTGCAACACCATGGTTGAGAATCACTGCTCTAGAGAAATAGCAACTAAGAGCAAAAGAGGAGAAGGCAACATTTTTCATGGAATCCACTCTTCCAATACCAAACAATATTCCACAATACTCTGGGGTGCCGTGAGATTCTTTTAAGGGTGCCCTGTGATGCCACACAATGTTAGGTTTACAAACATGATTTACAAGATAAGCACAGAGATTTCAAACAGGAAGAATACAACTATGAAGTTCTCTGCCATAGTGCTTTGCAACAGAAAAACTGCTCAACTATTTTTCTGTAGTAAAAAAAAAAGAGTAAAAACTAAGACTCCTGGCACATGGTACACTTAAGGCAGCATTAACCAGTTAATCATATCTTAAGTAGTTATGTGGACACACCTTAATGCAATTAATGGTGTGATAAAACAAGGAACAAGCCAGAAAGTTACTACACAAAAAATACGTAATAACTTTATTGCTGGTTCCTATTTGAACGTGTGACCAGGCTGATTGGGAGCTCTTGATTCCTGTAGGCTCCTGAGGCTGCGCATGCCAATCAGTTGATTGCTGCTCACAACCACAGGGGCACATGAGAGCCCTTGACTCCAACAGGCCTCTGGGGCTGGGAACAGCAACAGATCTGGGCTCCCAGCTTCTGCGGCACACTTTGAGTCAAGGGCTGTACTGGAAGCCCTCAGCTGATCTGGGATGCATGGTACACCCCCACAGCTGGAGCCCAGATCAGGTGGCCACTCCCAGCCATCACAGCACTTGGTGTGTGCCCAGGTCTAGTAGTCCCAATCAGCCGAGGAAGTTCCCAGCTGCAGAAGCTTACTACTTGCTGATGCAGAGAGATCCTGGGCTCCCCAGCAACAGCCGGTAGCAAGCTCCCATGGCCGGGAGCCCCGATCAGGTGATGGGGCTGATCAGGAACCCGGGCTCTGCCTGCACCAGCAATATGGTGTGAAGGGATCTGATGCTTGATCCCACAATCATGCCTCTTGCTATGCCAGTGTACATGGCAAGAGGCATGATTGTGGGATCAAGCATCAGATCTCAGTGCCTTTAGCTACATGTCTGTCTGGGGCCTAAGATCTGGCACATTCAGAGGAGTGCCATGAGTCTATCCAGGGGTGCCTTGAGTCTACAAAGGTTGAGAACTACTGCCTTAAAAGAATGCAGAGAGTTGAGAATGAGCACCAGACAATGCTGGTTGGCAACATTAAGTGATTTTATATGTTTATACGGGAAAATGCGAGTGGTTCTGTGAGGGCTAAATTTTGGCTGACAACCAAGACTGACCTAATGAACTTCAGAGCTAAAATCAAGAGCTGCTACACTTTGAGCTAAAGAGTCAAGCAGCTATAATTGTGCTTGTTACAAACTTGTGCGTGACTGAGACACAACACAGAATAAGAAATTGTTATACTCTGCTACCCTAATGACA